TTGAAAAAAAAAAAAAAAAAAAAAAAAACCAATTCTAATTTGTACGTCATTACAGCCTTCCCCCAAACACTAATATATCCACATATATCCTTTGGGAAATAGAGGCATACTTTCACTTTTCTGAAACACAAAATGAAAACACTTGCCTTAGATAACACTCCTAGTCAGATATTAAAAACAAATTTGAAAATGTAAACTCTCTTCACATCACTATTCCTCACTTTTCACTAAGTAATGCCCTTTTCACTCTCCATTTGGAATGACTAGTCACCTATCAAGGCAGTAATATCGAATAATTTTACAGTTTTCCTGTATCAGGCATATTGGTTAATCTTTTTTACTCTATTATATTTAGAAGAGGAAGGAAAAAAATACAAGTATCTTCAGAAGTTTTCCACTTGCCCTTGTCTGAGGAAAGTCACGAGCAACTAAAACGACTTCTCACATCTCGTTTATTCATGTGATTTTGCCATCACTTATCATAGAGCATCCCTCCTCCCCACTGTGAATGCTGACAACTTACTTCTAAGCCTCCAAATAAAGGGTGACTTTAAAGCTGAGAAAATGATTTTGATCCAAGATAGAACAAACAGCATAGTAACTGGGTTATTCATTAATATTAAATATGCTTTGTTTTTCTAGTAAACTTTTTAAAACACTTCCCTGGAACTTTTCTGTCTCTGTGTCCATGATCTGCCTGACCATTACCAGGTCACTAAAGTGCTTCATGCCTTAATTTCTCCTCCTTTAAATGGGGGTATGAATATCAATCTTCAACTCCTTCATTCCTGTATCTCACCAATCAGTTAGGGAGCCATTTCCAAATTATGGAGAAAGGTCTTAAAGGTATTTAAGTGTGTGTGTTTGGAGGTGGGGAGAGGTTTTGTGGACAAGTGTTACTGGAACCTCACTCTAATATTAACTATTCCTCATGTATAATAGAGAAGTTGCTATAAAGTAAGTCTTTCTTGGACATCATTTAACAATTTTGGTTGCTAAAGTAACCAAAGAATGCCAATATTAGTCATATTATTAACCAATATTAAGATTACATGATGGTAAAATGGGAATGTTCCAAGAAAGTTCCATATAAATACAGGTATGGTCTACATCTGAAAGAAGGAATTCGTGATAATAATTAAATTAATGTCCAACCGATAGAAGTGGTGGTCAAGATTGGAAGTGCTACTGCTGCAGGTTAAAGGGGATTCATTAATAAGCCAAAGTGAAGAAAGAGACTGACCAAGCCTTTGCCACATCAGTATGAGGAGGAAGTATTTTTCTACCATAGTCACAACTCTATCCCAAACCTGAGTCCACCAAAATGCTGACTTTTCCCATAAATTCAGGCCCTTAATGGTAATAGTTTATCAATTCTGCTTAACGTCAACATGAGCTATCTTATCTTAATTATTGGTTATAATTTGCATATGAACTGCAGCAAATATCATGGAATTATTTGATGCTAGTGATAGGAGACTGAACAACGTTCAGTCAGAAAAAAAATTTCAGTCATATAGATTTACACTGTCTTATTGAGCCTTCATAGTCTGGATGCCACACTTAGAGGAACAGGATCAATTAGACAACTACTGAGTCTGCCTTCAAATAGTTTAGAGTTCAGTTCATTATGTTCAACTGAGTTACCAGTCATTGTATTATTTTATTATTAAAACATATATGAATCTGTATCAATTTATTGCATGCTATGAATCCCATGGAACAAATGTTTTGGCAACATACTGTTGGAATAAGTGTCCTAAGGTAAAATGGCAGTTGCTAAAATAAAATACGTTTTAAGTGATTAATAAGGTCTGAGTGGGTGTATATATATGTGTGAACCTCAACTGCTTTATTTTGATGCTCTGCGTTCCCACATTTAGCCCTCTATAAACAGCACACCCTTGCTCATTCCTCCTGTGTAGGTGTTGGAGATAGTTTTACTAAATAGTACCACTCTACCACGCAGGCTTCATTACTTTTATCAACCAGTATGATCTGGTCTGATGTATTAGTCAAGAGCCATGATCTCTTTTTATGGTCTATTATTATGGTTCTTTTCTAGCACATATTGTAATAATTATTCTCTCAAACAGACTTCTACTAAAGCCCTGTGTATATTCTTTTATCATCCATCACATGGGGGGCAAATTACTCAGACATGATTTTAGCCAGGCTGTTCTGCATTTGGTCCTCAGAGGTCAGGCCTCATCTTCTCATTTCCCATTCAGTTGTTTTACTAGCTGGGATGTTTTAATGAACCAGGTTTTGCTTGGCAACCGCCATACCCCAGGCTGCACTGCACAGAGCTGCCATAGTAGGCGTTCAATAAATATTTGTGGGATGGATAATGAATCCTGAATCACCGCAATAAACCGTCTCAAACAGCTTGCTTTTTTCCTACTCCTAAGGCAGTGGTCCTCAAACTTTTCGGCCCACAGCCAAGTTTTCAGCAAGGCAAGAGTTTGTGCAGGCCAATAATTCCACCTGTTCCCAGTTATGACCAGAGAAGAAATCTCACCAGGTTTAATGGAAAAAAGTCAAAGTTGCTTTTGCTGAAAACAACAGTCTAGTTTTCATTGAATTTCACATGTAAATGTATTAATTCATCATGAATTCAGTCTGTTAATATTGTCATAGATGCTGAAACCACTGGAGTCCAGTCTATTAACCATGTGTGGACTGTTTATGGCACCCAGAGAGGGCCCTCTGAGTAACACCCAGTGACCCCATATCTTTGGTTAAATACAGTAATAATTGTGGAGGGAGCTGTCTAATCATTTAAGAGTTTCTTTACAAATAGTATCATTTTTTGTTCCTCCTGTTCTAAAGTTTAGCTTCAATGTTCACTTAGAACAAATGCCTCAAGAGTCTAATTTCCCTTCAGATTTTTGGAAAACAATACAAAACCCTAATAACAAACCCGAATGGTGTATAAAGCGAGTAGAGGTTTTTCGTAGTCGACAAGGAGATGACAGGTTTGATTTACAATTCAAACTACACTGCCACTGGATTCAGCTGGCCTCTCAATGAGCAAGAATCTCTTTCATTGTTTAGCGTTTGACCCTACAAATTCCTCCTGGTCTAAAGGGAAATCTTCCACAATGGCTGATGCAATCCATTCAAATGCTTTGCCAGGCATTTAGGTATATACTTGGAATTACAACTTCATGAAGGGCAAACGCTGCAAAAAACAAATGCTACAAAAAGCTTGGAGAGGCTACACAAAACACTGTAAATATGTATTATAAACTTAAGAGCAACAACTGAGCCCAAAGGGGAAAAAACCTACATCATCTGCTTTGCTAGAATCAGCCAACAGTGATGCTTCCCCATCTAAACCATAGTAAGCCATTACCGATTCTTAGTTAACAGCAAACTCCGATCTCAGTGTCATGGCCCAAATTTCCCCCACAAGAGCAAACATTCATACAGTGATATGAGATTTGGAATAGTAAGACGCTGAAAATGTTGTTTTAATCTGAAAATCTGGCATGCACTTTTATCAACACCAAAAGTTCTGGGAACTTCAAAGCCACAACTGTATATATAAATGAGCGCTAATAATAATATTGATATCCTCATCAGCTCTGGTATTGTTAATCTGGACATGAATGCATTAGAGATCTGAAAGGGGGCTTGCATTTTAATAGCGATGTTAACAACCTCTGTCAGCCTTTACTGCCCTACAATGAGCGTGGAATGAGTCTTC